CAGCACACAAGCAATCCTGTATCAGAAAATGTTCATTTATGCAAAAAGGTCAAAGGCCTCTGGGATCATCTGATTTTTCTTCATATACTCTCAGAGACCCCTACTGCAAGAGTCGATTCTTCAAAGCATTTTTATTCTAGGATCACTGATAGCTGACTTTATGTTTTCATGAGTTTTTTTTAAGTATTGGCTGCGTTTATGTAACTACCTAATGACGCTGTCCAAATTCAACAGCTTAAGTGGGGGTGGGCACTGCTGCTTCAAGACTGATCATTCCAATACCCAAAATGAGCAAAATACCATCCTATCATCATCAAAGGCACACACACTTCTAATGCTTCTGTTTGGTGCTGTTTGAACCCAAAGCTTAGTACTGATCTTCACCAAAGAGAAAGATAAAGCCTCAAATGAGATATTAAAACACATCAAGAAGGACAACCTAAATTAAAACAGAATACACAAAGTATTTTTAGAGGAAGAGCTATAAAATGGTTTACGAAGTTCCAGTGCCACCAGAGACAGTCAAAATACCAATGTACTGTAAAAGAAAAGTTTCTGAGCACACAGCTTGATCCATAGAGGCATTTTCCCATGAAATTTACAGCAGTATTTACTGTAACTACTGAGAATCAACAATGAATAGGATATCAGGGAGCTGTTTTACTAAAAGAGTGTTGCAGTAATGAGACTGTACTCTATGGTTGTCCTTGAACTTTGGAAACAAAGGGGGAAAAAAACCTGGGAAAAATAGATATATCATTTAAGTGAACTACTTGTATGTACAAAGTACCATATTTTCTTTCAACATCAGTCTATACAATACCAAAGGACTGTATAGGACGTTTTGGAGGAATGTAGTTTTTAACTCTAAAGTGAACATAGCAAGCACTGGACTTGATAATCCTTATGGGTCTCTTCTACCTTAAAACATTAGATATGATTTTCATCCATAAAAAGGGAAAAAAGACTACAAAAAGAAAAGCTTTGCAAGCATTTGAATATATGTTACAAATACACCAATGAATTGTCTTTAGACATTTTATGCTGCATTTTTCATTTTCTAAAAAAACACATTTTCTGGTAATATTTATACCCTGACAGTGCCTCCTTCAATTGTTATAGTCACTTATTTCATACATAGAATTTTATTTCACGATCAAGCTACACTATTTAATCTGTTCAAATCTCAGGTTATAAATTACAAAATGGTCTTCTGAAACCCAAAATATATTTTTTCAAAAAGGGAGGGGGAAGGGAAGAGAGATAAAGCAATCAGCTCTTTATTTCAAATCATCCTTTATACTCAAGTTCCTCTTAAACAGAAAATTGAGGGAGTACACAGTATCTCAGTTTAAAAGCTATACTTTTGTTTTCAAAAGAATGGAAAACACATGACTCACTAAAAGAATGCTAATTTCTTCATTCCTTTAAAATAAAACCATTTGAAGGCTTCAAAATCAGTGGAAGAGAGTGACAGCTTGAAATATGCATTCTGAAAACAAATCAAAAGGCCCTTTTAATCTTTAGTTTCTTATTTGGGGAAGCAGAAGATGCTATGACCTTACAAAAACTAGCAGACTATTTACAGAGATACTTTGGACAAATTTTTCAGTTTTATACCTCAATCATTGAGGTATAATCACTGCACTGCTCAATCATTGCAGCATCATGAAAACTAAGGATAAAATAAAACATAATCGAAAAAATATAGCAGAACAAGGGTGGATCTTCTGTAGAAAGAAAATGATCCATCCAAAATACACTTCTAGCAGATTCCTCCTCATGAAGGAAGGAAATGGACTAGATTTAGGCTACAGTTCAACTGTTGTTTCCAGATAATTTGAATCCAAGCTGCTCTCAAGAAGCAGTTTGACACTTTTCCAGCTGTGACCACCTACTTTTCTCCTGATGCTCATACTCAGCAAAGTGGATCGTGCCCCTGTTCCAGCTCACAGAGTGCTGCACAAGTCCATCAGAGGACAGCAATCAAAAAGAAACACTAACCTGAATGTCCTCCTCTTTCTGTCCTCCATTTTTCACAAGGACCCTAAAAACACTGTCATTAGATTTACTCTGTCAGCAAGCTAATGACTAATTCTTTATTTAGAGTGGAGGAACTCCATCAGCAGAGACAGAGAGAGGCTCATCACCTCAGCTGTGAGTCACTTGGTATGTGGGAGACCCAATCTTTAGCCCTGGCTTCAAATCTGGCAGAATTAGAATTTAACTCTAGAAAGCTCAACATAAAAATGGCTCACTGCAGGCTCATAAACCTTTTCTCATTCATTCTTACAACAAAAAATTGTAAAAAAATTCTTAAAAGAATGCCAAATTGTTACCCTCTCCTTGTCAGCAGGCATATTATGCATATAAGCTACCATATGCTTGCTGGCTAACCCTAAGTAGCAGCAGAACAAACTCTCACAACCAGTCAGCTACACCAGCTGAGCCACCCAGCAAACATCATGCATTTCAGGTTTTCTTAGCAAGTCTTTGACTTTCCAATCCAGTTCTTAGAAAAGAAATCTAGTAAAAAATAAGGCAACAGTGATTCAACTCTTCTGGAGCTGAATAGCTCCTATGAGTTTTAATTGTTTCCAGCTTACATTGATCTTTACCAATACATAGAAACAAAATCAACTAAGTTCATAATAATCTTGCAGTTCAACAGGACTGTTTAATACTTACATAGAACAAGAGGACTTTAGGACAAAAGTGCAACTGGCTATACAGGAAGTCCTGGCCCCAATCTTAGACTTTGTGCACATGTATCAGAAGGAATATTCCTCCTCTAGCACAGAGAGAGTTTTTCTGATCTAACACGGGAATTAAAAAGCACACAGAAACAGTTTCAGTGCCCCAGGAAAAAAAAAAATCACTCTTTTCACCAAATAATCTAGCAATCTGTGACACACAGATCTGCTGAGGTAGAGTATCATACAGTTGCACAGCACAAACTACGCCAAAGCACAAATGCAGCTTCTCTCTCTACACACCTCATTTCACTCCCTCCAATCTAAATAGGTTTAATGCTGGGATCCTATTGCTTAGGAACATCCTAAGCAGCTTTGTCTTAATCATCTGCATTTTCTCAAGCAGCTTCTGCACTGGCAACAAAGATTCTTCAGAATCAGACAGAAATACTGGTCAGAAATTAGGAGGAACTATTGCAGTGCTCAATATATTTTTTCTTCTTCTATTCTTTACTACATAGACCCACATCCTTCAAGAGCAACAGACAACCAAGACTGTTGTCACTCTATTCCAGGTCCCATGCAAGCATGAGGTTTTTTTTCAGAAAGTTTGTTTCCAGGTATCAATCCTACCATGAAAAGTTGAGCTTCTGGACTTTCATACAAGTCAGTCTCCAAAACTGTGTATTTTTGTTCCATCCCCCTTAAGATCAATGCCTGGAGTGAACATTTCCTGACATTCAGCTTCAAAATAAATTATAACCATGATGACAATATTATTGGTTCCCTTCCATAGATTTTTCCCCAAGTCAAGCAATAAAAACAAAGGCAAAACCATGATACAACTGTCAAGGCAGAATCTTAATACTGTCACCTGATACTGATCAGCAAGCACCACATGCCCACAAGGACTGGAAAATATCCTTGTACAGACACAGCCCAAACACATCAGAGCATAACACTAGGCTGTGGATGTACCATGCCGTCTTGATGTCTGACAAGGAACCACAAGGTCCTACATAGTTCTTCTACATAGACTTCCATCAACACCATAAATGCCTTCCCCACTCTGCCAGAGCAACAGGAGTATTATTTCACAGTGGCATTTACAGCACACAATGAAAAAATTCTCCAAAACCATCTTTCATCTTAAAGAAGATGTTTCCTAATAAGTACTAAGTGTGTAGTATTTTCTTTCATTTACCTGTTTGCATACACTGTATCCTACTAAACTTATTTATAAATGGTCACCCTTCCCTGGGCCATTCAGAAAAATCCTATTACACAAAATTAAGTATTTTTTCTGACTTTTTGACACTAAATACCACATAACCTCTTTCTGCAGCCCATTTAAATGGATTTTTCCTGATTAATGAGGGAGTGCCACAAGAGCAAGCACATATTAATATTACAGAATTGGTCAAAATAAGTGAAATAATATTCATCATGTTAGGTTTCACCCCTTACCCTTTCTTATAGTTGTATGCTCAGCCTATTTTCATCAATGAAGATTGTCTTGCAAATTACTACAATAATTCCAGGGAAATCAGCATGAATTTTAGTTATGGCATTGCAGATAAACTTTTGGGTACTGCAACAGACCTCCATTACTTTAGAAAATGCTACTACGGAATGAAGTAATTTGTAACTGAAATTAGTTCAGGGTAGAAAAATTTGTTACACTGTGTAACTGTGTTCTTAATCCATTTTAACACTGTTGTATGCTAAGAAAAACACTATTACTAAACACTATTATAGAAAGGCGGTGTAACAAATTTCATTTCTGTAAAAAAAAACAAAACAACACCTATTTCTGCTTTTGTCAATAGCAAACTTAAATAAAATACATCTGAGTAATTAAGAAAATACAGGCAATTCTTCAAATGCCGCAATATATTTTAAGAGACTGATGCAGAGCAAGCAGATATGCCTCATGCTTATCCAAACTTGAAAAGACTGCTTAAAACAATCTGTCCTGAACCTTATATATATATCAAATACAACAGCTTCCTGTCAAGGATTGTTTTGAAATCCTCTAGGTAATGCTCTAGCAACTTACAGCATAGCAACATGGCTGCAGTAATTGTGACCAACAAAAGCTGTAAGACACAAGTAGAAATAAATATGATTGCAACAAAATGCTGTGATCGTTTTCCTCTCTTTTTTCCTTACAGTCTGCAGTTCACATTCTGATGCAAACACTGGAAGATAATTTAGGTGGAAAGACATTGCAGATACAGCTACTTACCTTGTAAGATGGAAAACTCTGTAAACAAATAGCACACTGCAATTTACACTGTCACTTACCTCATAGGACCAAACGCACTGAGTTCCTCCAAACCTCCGGACACACCTGCCCACTTCTACATCCTCATGGGTGGTGTACATTTCTCGAAGGCATTCACCTATATGTGGCACCATCCTCCGGAGAACTTCCCGGCTGAAGATCATTCCTGGCCCTCCCATGCAGAAATTTTCTCCAGGCTCCAGCCCCAGTTTTCCGAGTTCTTCAATATTACCCAGACCAGTCTGCCCCAAATACAGAGGTTTACTGCTGTTCAGTGAGCGAAGAAACTCCTCCAACTTTTCACCTGATAAAAAGACAAGATTGCTGTTATTTCTCTGACTACTCTACCAGTCGTCTCTTTTCCTGTACTTCAAGCTTTTATAAAAATATAACAGGTACCCAAGACTGTCAGAGGAAATTACTTCCAAAGCAATATTCTACACCTTATGGAAAACATTTTTGGACAAATTAACAGTTTGTTTTTTTTAAATTAACATTACAATGAAATTTTCCTTCCAGCAAAAAGTTGGAATATGGTCAAAACTTAATTTTTAACAGTGAACTTTGTTCTGTTCAAACAATACTGATGGAAAGCACTTGTTAGTATAAAAGTCCCTAAAGTTGGACAATTTGGACAATACAGTTCCAGGTGGAGAAGGAAAGGGAGTGGATGGGAAATACCAGGTAAGATTTTAATATGATTGTCTTTTGAAAATACCAGAGCAAATCTAAATGAATAAAGAAAAACATGTTTAATTACAGAATCCTTGGAAAGAGAGTAAAACTCTTGTTAGTTTCAAATAGTTCCAGTGCCACAATGTTTATACAGTTTTCCTCCAAATCCCTTAGGTAGTTATTTTAGGAAACTTTGTTCAATATTTATTTGAAATTAAGTTTCCAGATAGGTTTAATTTGGTGCTACGGAATCCATTAAAGACAAGCTCAGTACAACTTCGAAATGAGCTCAGAGTAAACACAACTTGACGTCTGCGACAGAATGTGTGTGTATATATATTTATATACATGTGTACATCTGCAACTATTGGACAGGTGAATGACAACTGATAAGCAAGCAGCCTATTAAAAGACTCAAAATTAACTGACAGACGGGGAAGGGTACAGCCACCACCTATGAACTTACTACAGTGTAAGCAACTGAGCTCACAACCTGGGCTTACGCTTTCAACTTCGGCTTCCCTTTCCTAAGTGCGGGAATGCCAGCCTCAAGCGCGGACCAAAAGGAAGCAGGCTGCAGAACAACACGTCCTACCGGTGCAATGAAACTCGCACGGGAGCAGGGCTGGCGCTGCCCGGAGGCACCGAGCAGCAGCTCCACTCCGCTCGCCCAGCCCAGGGTGGAGGCAGGCGGGGAGCTGATACTGGCGACAGCAGCACCGCTGCCGAGGAGTCCCGCACCCACCGGGGGCCGGGGCGAGGCGCGGC